AGCCAGCATCAACATCTGTCACTTCTCCTACCTTCTTTTCCACTAGCTTGTAGCAAAACAGTTGTTCTTGATCACCGTGGTTATAATATTCTGATATCCTTATGGCTTCCTTTTGCAATAATTGAAGCTAAAACTCCCAGCCTAGTACAAGGCAGTTCAACTTCTCAAAGCTCTCCCAGGCATATTTATTGTTATTTATTTCTTCCTGATGTTGTGATTTGTGAATCTGTTAAACACAGATCTGTGTCTGAGCCAGATACCCACTACAGCTCTCAAGCCAGAGACAAGAAGTTGCATCAGGCTTTCCCAGGAGCCTCATCACCTGTGTCATCAGAGCTCTGCCTCTAGTGAGCATTGTCTTACTTGCCACAAACAAGTAACAACAATGTTCAAAACAGACAAGCTGGTGTGATAAATAAATTGCTCAGGTTACCGGTAATAAAAGCCCTTTAATGAGCACATTTTTATTAGAAGTAACTAACACTAAAGAACATGTCAATGGATGAAATCCTTTTGCAGGGTCTGCAAAGAATACTTGGATAAGATTTGTGTTAGCACCAGTAATTCATGTTATCTCTTACTTTAGTGTCTGCAGGAATGAGGTAATTTTCCAGCATGTCCTCAAAGACCTTGAGTAGTCATTTAGCTCATGTTGCTCACAATTTAGATAGTGATGGAGTTTTTTTTCCCAGGAAGTCTCCATGAGCTCAGGATCTCTTTCTATAAACTCAAGATTATGCTTTCTTTCTTCCCCCCAAGCCGGCACCAGTGGCTAATGTTTCCATGGGAAAGATGCAAGAAACTTGATTTTATTGAATGATCATGTTCATCATATTTAAGACTTTAAAACTATTGCCACTAACTCTAACTCCTTTATCTATAAGAGACTCAGAGTCTTTATTTTAAATTTTGTGTGCTCATTTTTCAATCTGCCAAAAAGTATTTACAGTTGTGGAATTTTATCTCTTAATGGAAAAACAAAAAGCAAATGATTTTTATTATTTTTCTTCATGTATCTCACCCTTCATTTAAAAAGCACAATATTTAATGCTGTTCCGTTTCCCTGCCTTTGTTCTGCTGTACAAACGCACACAACATCTCAAATCAGAAAATGGTTACAGATAGTGACACCCCTAATGCATTTTTTGAAATTCCATTAGTTTCAATTACAGGAGATAAATCTCTTCCCTAGGGTTATATATCAGTGGTTTTAATCAGTTATTTCAGAAAAATGTGGGAGAGCACAATGAAATTTAATTGAATACTGCAAAACTCACATTTTGGTTTCTCTGGATGGAAGCTACCAATTTGCAAACTGAGAGCAAGATTGTGGCCTCTATCTAGTTTCTGAGCAAATTATTCCTGTTGGACAGACCAGGTTTAACTCTTAGCACCTCTACTACATTAGTGTTGGAGGGAACTTGAGCATTTCAGATAACACAAACGAAGATCTTATTTTTCAGGCAACAAACAAACAAACCCCAGTGTACATCTAGGGGGAAATTAGTAGGATAATCAGAGTTTTAAAAACATAGTTTGAAAAACTATCTACAACAAAACAACAGCTAACATCACTCTAAATGGACAAAAACTGAAAGCTTTCACTCTAAAATAAAGTACAAGACAAGGATGTCCACTATCACCACTCATATTCAATATAGTTCTGGAAACATTCATCAGAGAAATTAGGTATGAGAGAGAAATAAATTAGGAATTAGGAAAGGAAGAAGTTAAATTATCACTATTCATAGGTGACATAATACTATACATAGAAGACCCTAAAACCTCCACCAAAAGTCTTCTTGATTTAATAACGAAATTCAATAACAAATTTAGTTACAAAATCAGCACTCAAAAGTTACCAACATTCCTGTAAACAAACAACAAATTCACAGAGAAACTAGAGAAATCACACTTTTCACAATATCATCCAAAAAATGGCAAAAGAAGTAAAAGATATGTACATTGAAAATTACAGTATTCTGAAACAGGAGATCAAACAAGGTATCAGAAAATGGAAAGATATCCCTTGCTCAAGGATAGGAAGAAGCAACACAGTGAAAATGTCCATACTCCCAAAATTGTTACACAGATTTAATGCAATCATGATCAAAATACAATTAAAATACTTCGCAGAACTAGAAAAAAATCCTAAAACTCACTTGAAATCAGAAAAGACCTAGAATAGCAAAAGCAATTGTGGGCAACAAAGGCAAGGCAGAAGACATTACAATCCCTGACCTGAAATTATACTACAAAGCAATTATGATAAGATCAGCATGATACTGTCAAAAAAAGACATCCCTGAAGATCAGTGGAACAGGTTAGAAGATGCACACACAATCACAAACACACTCAGTCTCTTTACTTTTGACAAAACATCCAAACTTGTTTACTGGAATCCTCTTTAGTAAATGGTGCTGCAAAAACTGCCTTTCTATATGCCAAAGACTAAAACTGTACCCATGTGCATCACTGTGCACTCAGCTAAAGTTAAAATGGATCAAAGATCTAAATATTAAAACAGAAGCATTCAATCTACTGGAAAAGAAAATGTGTAGAAATCTTGACGACATGGGGGTAAGGCAGAGAGTTCATGAACAAAACCCAAACTGCATGGGAAATACTCTAAAGAGTCTTATTTAAAAGCTTTTGCACATCAAAAGAAATCACTAACAGAGTGAAAAGATAACCTACAGATTGGAAAAAAGAAAACTAGCCAATTATCCCTCATATAAAGGACTTCTATCTAGAACATATAATGAATCAAAAAATTCCAGACACGGGGGCTGGAGATTTAGCTCAGCGGCATAAGCACCTGCCTTGCAAGCAGGCGGTCGTGAGTTTGATCCCTGGTACCAATAAAAAGATAAAAAAAAAAGAATGCCTAAAAAATTCCAGACACCTCCCCCCCAAATTCAAAGACCCAGTCCAACAATAGGCACCCAATCCAGCAATAGGCAAATGATTACATATTTCTCAGATGTAGAAATACAAATGGTAAATAAATATATGAAAAAATGTTCAACATCACTGGTCAGTCAAGAAATGCAAATTAAAGCAACACTGAAATTCCATCTCACTACAGAAAGAATGCCTATCATCAAGAAATCAACCAAAAATAAATGCTGGCAGGGCTGTGGAGAAAAAGGAACACTTCTCCACTGTTGGTGGAGTGCAGACTGGTGCAACCACTGTGGAAACCAGTTTGGAGATTCCTCAAAAAGTAGGAATAGAGTTCCCATTTGACCCAGCTATTCCATTTCTGGGTATCTTTCCAGAAGAATTAAAAACATCATACCACAATGATATATGTGCAACAATGTTTATAGCAGCACAATTTGTAATAGCTAAATCCTGGAAACAACCCAAATGTCCATCACCTGATAAATGGATAAAGAAGATGTGGTGTTTTTAGACAATGAAGTACTCTTTCACCATTAAGAAAAATAAACTTGAGACTTTTATAACTGGTTATAACTTGAGACCATACTCATTAGTGAAATAAATCAGACTCACCTATGTAAACATCATATCACCCTGATGTTAGAAAACTGAAAGTAAATAAGGTCTAAAATGTACAACCAACACTGGGAAATGGGAAGAAAATGTTAAAAAGGGAAATGGAACTAGGATAGGGGAAAGGAAGAATTTAAAAAAGAAAAAATGCAAGCTAGTTGTATTATTAGTGTCTCTTAGTTCATAGAAGAAGGTTCACACTTACATCAACTGAAAAAATTTTATGCCTATATCTTGTACTCTGAGTAACTACTTAAGATAATATGTAATGAATTAAGTATTGTTATTTTCCCATCATCTTGTTATGAAATTTTGTTTTACCTTTTTTCTATATAATAAAAAGTCATAGTTTACATGGAAAAGTTAAAGAAACAAAGAATAGTTAGCTTACAAAAACAAAATCATTGAATTTCAGAGCTGATAGAAAAACGTCAAACATCATCATTCAATTCCTTTCATTGTGCAGATGAAATTCTAAGCATTTATTTAAATGATGAAAGTCACTGAGCTAACTTGAGGCAGTGCAGACACTAGAACCCAAGCTTTCTGACTCCCATGTTGCTGTGTTCTTTTCACAAGGCCATCTGACAGTCCATGTCTTTCCCTTTCTGAAGTGATGGCTTTTCAAGAAGCATAAACAACACAAGATCACAAAGTGCTTAGCATAGAGCCTGGAAAAACACAGACCACCACTAAGTGTTAATTCCTATTCTCAACAGTGTGCTTTCTACCATAACAACGATTAAGCAAAAAGAAGACTGTGGCTGAAGTTGATAATGATTTTTAAATAAATATCTGTACATATCTTCTCAGAAGATGGCTGAGGACACATTGGGATAATTATAAATTCATATATTACCAAAACATAAAGGAAAAGTGAAGTGGGGAGAGAACATTTCTAATGAATGCAGTCCTCCAACAGTATGAAAGACTCTGCTGAGAACAGAATTTCTCATCGTGGGCTATATTCAAGTGAGCCAGGTGGCAATCAATGAAAGATTACCTCCAGAATTTCTTAATGAATGGGAGGCAGGATTAAATTACCTATGAGAGTCTGCTTTTAACTTGCTGACAATAGGAAGGAGAAAAATTGTGTATCCAGTACAGTTTAGGAAAATTCATCTGATAGCACTAACAAATAGAGGTGGCAGTGCTAATCGGAAGCCAGCTAGGAGCTCTAACATTTTGAACCATCAATGTAAAAATCACAGAATGATAAATGTTGAGTCAATCACAAATGATTCAGATTTTCATCTGCATCTTTTCACCTCTCCTCAAAAAACTGTTTAACACATTCATGAAGAATTCTATTCCTGATTAAGGTCTTTGAATATCTCATAATTGGTGCTTCTGACACTCCCAGTGGCTACCCAGCAAGAGATACTAAAGGACGGAGATGCTAAAAACAGGATAAAAGGAAACGGACCATGGTCTGCTGAGAAGCAGCATACATTCTTCATTATTATTTCTTCTTTCCTTAGGTTATGTGGACATTGGACTCATTCCCAAAGGAGCAAGGGACATAAGGGTAATGGAAATCAAGGGCGCTGGAAATTTCTTGGCCATCAGGAGTGAGGATCCAGAAAAATACTATCTCAATGGAGGATTTATTATCCAGTGGAATGGGAACTATAAGCTGGCTGGGACCATCTTTCAGTATGACAGGAAAGGAGACCTGGAAACCTTGATGGCCCCAGGCCCCACCAATGAGTCAGTGTGGCTCCAGGTAATCAGAGGGGGAGGAAACTGCCGACATGCCTGCTGGTTACAGTGTTCCAATTTTTTGGAAGAGTATTTACTAGGAGACATTAAGTAAGAATCATTAAAACTTCTTTTAGCTAAGGACAGGAAAGCGAATGAAATATTTGTGTTCTTCATCCTGTATTGCCTAGAAGTTGCTGAAACTCCCATAATAAATTATGTATATCTAAAATGTACCAATAAAAAAATCCTAAGACAAAAGGGCCTAAAGTTGAAAAAAATGCCAGGGGCTCTACAACTACTCTATGGAGAATTGTGTTGCTTCTGGGCTGATCTGTTTGAAGGTAGTTATTTTTTAGGTATGTAAAGGATATCTCAGCCTGTTGTCGGTTTGGCGTGAATTTCTAAGTAGCTTCTCCACACTCATGATGCACTGGCATACTATCAAACAGTTGTCCTCAACAAAAGCTTTGCCTTTGGGAAGTTCTTAGAGGGAGGACAGGTTGAGGTGCAGTGTGTGTTCCTCAAAGGCACAAGTTTTATCTGTCATATTTGGCAAGAACTATAAAAAAATGTAGAATCATTATACTACTCTAAGCAAGGCAGATTGGGGATGAGCCATGGCTCAAGACCCAGACACATTCAAAAGTTAGGAGGAGGTTCTATCAGAGCCAGAGGCTAGAGAATTCACAGAAGCAGGAGGTCAAGGTTGGCAGCTGTGGTTCATGAATGTCAAGAGATCTTATATCCATCTGTCCTGCCCACAAGGGCAAAGACTTAACAGTAGGAACCCCAAACCCTGGGAGCAATCAATCTATGACCTCTAAATTTAGAATGAATCCATTTTAAATGTGTAGTAAGTGTACTGCCTGAGAATGAATTGAAAAATGACACCTTATCTAAACTTCTTTACCAGGTTTACCTGGAACAACTATACGTTATAGGAGCTAATCAGCCATACTTCTAGGAATGAGAATCATAAGAGAGCATAACAAACATACTAAACATTTATTAAGTTCTAATTTCATATCATGTTCTCATCATTTTATACATATTTACTAGTATAGCCCTTGTGATAACCCCACTATTAGGTAGTACTGTTATCCTTAGTACACAGAGTAACTAAGGCACTTAACTATATACACAAAGGTGGTAAGAACTTATGGACTCAAGGTAACCTATCATCTAGTCATTGAAAAACACAGTCCTTGCCATTCCCTCAAAGTAATATCCAGTGATTAAACTTTCCCATTTATAGGATTGAAAATTCCGGGGGCTGGAGGGAATTAAGCCAAGAAATAACAGAATTGAGAATATATTGATAGAGAAATAAAGGCAGATATAGAGTTAGTTATACCAATATAGATATAGACCCATTTAATGGGATCTTTTCAGTGCATCCTGCTAATTGTAAATGATGGTTACTTGTGTAGCATTTTTTCATGACTGAGATTTGCAGTCTTAAGTCATGACAGAGTTTACCATGTCCCCTCTCTTGCCTATTAGCTTCTATTCCAGGTGACTAACCCAGGTGTCAAGTACGAGTACATAATCCAAAAAGAGGGTCTTGACAATGATGTGGAACAGCTGCTGTATTTCTGGCAGTTTGGCCAGTGGACAGAGTGCAGTGTAACGTGTGGAACAGGTAAGAAAGAGCTGCTTTCTTAGCAGTCTATCAAAGTTTCCTAACGTGGGCCAGAGGAGAACAAAGGCAGTGGTTTGCAAGCCGTGCACATGGAACTGCAGCATCCCACAGGGATGGCCCACATGCCACGGGAGGCTGGTTTAAAGGGAGAGGCACTTGTTCTTACGTATGTCTGGCTGCCTCAGTCTATGAGTACTATTTAATTGCAAAGGGTGCAAGGAAATGAACTTTCAGAGGGCTGGAGTACTTGGGTACTTTGGACGTTCACTCATTGAAAGGGCTTTAATAATAGTACCTTACATCAAAGCCTCCAGATCTGTGTCTCCTTTTGAATCACATCTGACAACTACTGCCTGTAAAACTAGCACAAGGATAGAGTGGAGAGCTGAAACCCGTGACATAGCAGAGGAATTCAGGTGCTGGAGTGAAGAGGACAAGAGGCCTGCCCCCCTGCCCCCATCCCAGGCTTCCCTCTCCCAGGTTTGGGCTCTGAGCAGCCCAGTCACTCACGTCCCTGTCTCCAGGACCTCACTGTGGAAGGAGACCCAGTAACAAGAAGTTGGGTCGTGTTTCACTAATGGATTTTGTACTATTAAATTATTATTATTTGTATTATTATTTTCCCAAGTTTATCATGTGAAACCTGATACAACTGTGGGGGACTGACGGCGGCTGAAAAGATAAGAAGTATGAAATATAAATAACCTTTATTTTGAGAATGCGGGAGAGACACCCCCTATCCCCTGGGGTGCAGCATCTCCCCCTGCAGTCAACAATCTCTCCATAGAACACGTGGAGTGGAGGCATATATGTAGCTTAGGTTTGGGGTGGAGCCTGAGGGGGCATTAGGGATGCACAAGTAGCCCATTGGTATTCTTTTGGAACCACAGGTAAATTCCTAGGGGTGGGGGAGATAGGAGCTCCTTGGTTCCAGCTGAGGCTTTTCCAGCTACAGTCTCTGGTCTGGGGCAAAACTCTTTCATATCCCATCTTATGATTATTATTATGAAAAGGGGCAAAGATTTCTCTCTTTAACTGATTCCTACTGGAAGAGGGCACTGTACTGGGGTCTAGGAGAGTCGATAGTTGATGCCCAGGTAGAAGCTGGTGCCAGGTGTTTAGCCAGGACAACTTCACTGGTGAATGCACATATGTTAGACTGGAAAAACAAAGAGACAAGAATATTATGAGGAGGCATGGCACTGTAATATTTAAGGACCCAGGTGAGGTAGAGGGAAAGGTGCCTTTGATTTAGACATGTCATTATATCAGGACCACTTTGAGGTATGATCATTGTCACGGTGAGGTAGAATTCTGAAATATAAGTATGAGGTTAGGAGGAGTGAAGTTATGAGAGGTGATTACTCCCCCATCTGAAAGGGTAAAAGTTAAAAGGGTAGGTGGGTAAAACTTGTCTCTGGTCCAGAAGTTGAACTGGAAAAAATAGGGGGAGTGGGGAAGGCAGTGGCTGTACCAGTATAGGGAAGGTAAGGGCCTAGGCTTTCAGGGTTGTCACATTTAACCAGACAGCTGAGGGTAGAAAGAACTAAGACAATCATCACATAGAACATTATGAAGATGATCTTACGCATGATGTGGGAGTCTTTAGGAAAGACTGTCAAGAGTCCTGCTGTAAAAATGATCATTAATAGAATGTAAGAAATTAGGAACCAAAGTGAATAACAAAACATGACTTAGCCTGTTAACTGTGGCTGCAAGGCCTGCATGAAACAGAGACGGGTGGGCAACAGAAGATGAGATGACCACTCAGAATGATCAGATTTAGAGCTGGAAGGGCACTGCTTAGCCTGAGTGATGTGAAACCAGGATGTGAGTCCAGCAACTTTGATCACTGTTGAAGTTGCCAAGAATATCAGGTATGGGTCGCTGTAGTTCTTGGAATGATTTGCTGTAACAGGACTTTATAAGTCTATTAGCAGTCTCCCTGGTTGTGTGAAAGGCTTTTATGTATCCTGAAAAAGTATAAACAAAGTGAGAAGACAAAATGTATCTGCCAGTCTTGACCAGGGTTGCCTGAGAAATTGGTGAGTAAGAAAGGAAAGGGTGGTTTTATATCACTGAGGAGAGGTTTACTAGTGATAACAGGTATAAGCTGTTGAGGCCTCAGTGTCTGGGTCAGCCTGTATAAACACAAGGGAATAAAAATTCATTTTTTAAGATTTAGGACTGAAGAGTGAGTTTGGGAAGAAGCAGTCTGGAATCTGCACGAAATAGGGCCTGTTTGTAAATGGCATAGGTTGACCTTTAATACTCTCTAGAGGTTTGAGGACTTAATATAGTGGCCTGAAAATTCAGGAAGAACTCTGTACATATGGCCTCTATGTCTACAAGTATAGAGAATGTCTTACCTGAGACTTTTAGTGGGACTTGGACTCTGAGACGGACATCCATGAAGTGGGCTGTTGTTGGCCCCGTCAGTCTTTAGCAGCAAGTTTAAGCAGGTCTGTCAGTGATGAATCTGGCAGTGTTGGCATTTCCTGTGAGGGTGAGAAGTTAGGATGGCTTACCCACTCTCTGGTGGCTAGGACAGTCCAGCAGCTGTGGAGTAAGGTCTCAAAGAATGCCAGGATGGGGCACTCTCTTGCCCAATGTCTTCTGCTGCATTTGAGGCATGGTCCATGGGGCGCCCAGGCAGCTCCACCTTGTGTTGGTTTACCTGTCTCAGAACTCCAAGTGTCACAAGTGTTATTTCTGTTGTTGAAAAATATGAAAAGCCATATTAAGGTCTCTATGAGGTTTGAAGGTCAAGTTTGGCCTTTTTGTTTGGGATTTGGACTACAGTAGAAGATATCTGTAGAATTAAGTAAGTATGCAGGAGTTAAATATAATCAACAGGGTATTTATAATTTTAGTAATAACGTCCCATAAGGAGGACAGGTTCAGAGAATTTTAGGAACTGACATGTTATTTAGGTCATATATATGAGTATCTCCTAATGCCATCTGATTTTTGGAGGATGGCCTGTTTAATTAATCTTTACCATTTCATTTAGGAGAGAAATCAGTGTTATTTAATATTAGTTGAATATAGTTAATCATGGCTCAGTGGAGGGCTGAGCTAGGGCAGGCAGATAAGCTGGGAAAGGTTGAGTTTGGCTTCTGCCGCAGTGCTGGTTTTGCTGTTTTGCATATATCATACAACCCTTGTCTTGGAAAAGAGCTAGTGGTTCCCAGAAAAAAGAATTTATAATATAGGCAGTAAGCTCAACACAGAACACCACTGGTGGCTCACAGCAAAAGGAATTTACAAACACCTCCCAATTTTAGTTGTTAAACAGGAGATTACTGAAGGCTTTGAATGATAAACAAGGCTGGTAAAATTACCAAGTGGCCACTGTCCCATTCATCAGCCAAAATCTTGTCTATTGCTGGCTTATTTAACCTTGATTAAATGGCTTGAGAATTGTAAAAAAAAAAAAAAATAGCATCTCTGAGCTGAGCCACCGAGCTGCTCCTATCTGTGCTTGTGTTTAAAGCGGCACTTGTGTTTGGGTGACGCACAGTGTCTAAGGCAGGATGGAACTCTGAGGCTGGGTGGGACATGCCCAGGGTGGAGGCGGTACACGCAGAGTGAAGGCAGGGCGAGCACCGGGACACAACAGGGAGCAGGCTGGGATTGCCCCCACAAACACACTCAGGGTGGCAGCAGCGGTGGCACGTGGGCGGGGGGGAGCTGGGAGGTGAAAGTGGGATGCCACGTGAAGCTGGGGCTGCTCCTGGAGGTGCAGCCAGTAGCCAACAGATGTGGAGCTGAGCCGCCACATGGAAGAACCACTTGTGGGGCGCGCGGATTAGGGTGCAGTGTTAGAGCTGAACCCCACGTGTAGACCTGGAGCGCAGCACAAGAGGTGAGATGCTGTGAGGAGTTGGGGGGTGGCGTGAAAGCCTAAAGCAATAGTATCTCCCAACGCTGTTTGGGCTGGAGCGCTTGAGGGCTTAAAGTAGCCATGCATATCTCTCAACACTGTTTGGGTGCATTTTTCCCATCTCAGTGGGGAATGGGTTGGTGCACAGCAAGGGGCGGAGGGGAAGCAGGGAGGAAAGGAGACTCTGAGAAAGCTCTAAAAGGCTGCAAGGAAAGATGCTATTATCTCTTTAAGTGTGGGGAGGGGGAGGGATCCTGGAAGAGCAGGAAAGGACACACATTCCCAAAACAAAGACTTAAAGATAGAGAGTTTTGTAAATTTGTCATCAGTATGATAGGCTATAAATAGGTATGGTTTTTTGGGGGGGACAGGAAGTGGTCCCCAAGATAAAATCTGGTGTGAGGTCTAAGCCCATGGAGTTATAGCCAGATGAGGCAACAGACCATGGTCTGCTAAGTTTAAAGTCGTCACTTTTTACTCTAGACTGATCAGTATTTTATGGTTCCAAAACTCATAATAATTGGCCATCACCAATATATGAGTGGATTTCACATGGGTTTAGTAACAACTCTGCCTGTGAGAACTTAAAAAACTCTGAAGGACATGAGAGTCTTTCAGTGTGGACATAGGCTGGCCCAGGAAGACTCTGCCTTGGGCTATCCGAACCCAAAGGACATGAGTGTCTCCCAGTGTGGACACAGGTTGGCCCAGAAAGACTCTGCCTTGGGCTATCTAAGGATGTGAGAGTGTCACAAGAGCCCATGGAAAGGGGGAGAAAACCCGCCTGGGGCTTGGCCTAGTGGCAATCTCAGGGGTTGCTCACCTTTGGTAAATTGGGTTGGTGTTTTTTGCGAATCGGCAGCGACAAGTTTACAGCTCCCGAGTGTAGAAGTGAGGAATTAATGCAGTATGCAGTCCGGTCCTGGTCCTAAACAGCAGGGGACTCAAACTGGGAGGACCCCAGGAGTCTCTTGTCTGCCGTTCCTGGTCAGGGAACCATATGATAGAACTGTGGGGGACCGGCGGTGACTGAAAAGATAAGAAGTATGAAATATAAATGACCTTTATTTTGCAAATGCGGGGAGAGATACCCCTGATCCCCTGGGGTGCAGCATCTCCCCCCAGGGTTGACAATCTCTCCATGGAACACGTGGAGTGGAGGCATATATGTAGCTTAGGTTTGGGGTGGAGCCTGAGGGGGCATTAGGGATGCACAAGTAGCCCATTGGTATTCTTTGGTGCCATAGGTAAATTCCTAAGGGTGGGGGAGATAGGAGATCCTTGGTTCCCGCTGAGGCTTTTCCAGCTACAGTGTCTGGTCTGGGCCAAAACTCTTTGAAAACCTAATTTGTTTTTTAGGATTCACAAGATTAAAATGTCTTTTTTGAAACCTATATGGTTTGGGAAATGCTAAGCCTCTGAAGTCTATCCAGGTCAAAAAGGAAAAGGAATCTATGGCCAACCCAGTTGTGTTGGCAGGAGAGAGGGTCCTGCAGTGCCCACCACTGCCTCTGTCATTTCCAGCTCCACTACTCTGTCCTCAGCCATTGCCCAGAGAAGCAAAGGCAATTTTAACAGAAAATAAGTCAGTGAAAGTAATTCCCCAGAGGAGCTTTTGTGAGGGAAATGAAGTCACTGTGAATGGTTAGCATGTACTTTTCCAGTTTATGACTCCCCTCCTTTTCTCGTCTTTCAATGAAGTGCAAGTTTAAGTTTAAATTTTGTCCCAGGACACCACCGAGTAAAGATTAGCCAATGCTGACTGAACAGATTCCTAAAAAAAAAGAACAGCCTTTCAAGGCAGGGTGCCTCTTTCCTTATACATAATATTTCAGAGCCCTGGGAATAAAGAAATAAGTCACTAAATTTTTCAATGAACATAAACCATCTGAAGTTACCTAAAAAACTGAACAATCTTAGCCAATGTGAATTAGACATTTGGTTTTACTACAACCTAATCATGCAGCAGTACCACTACATATCTGGGTAAAGGTTATTCTGATGATTAAACCTTAATGGAAATTATCATAGCGTTCACAAGCCTACCTGAACTTCAGCCACACTGCCTATTTGAGTTACAGTGAATTTTCTTGCTCTTGCAGAGAGAAAGAAAAAACAGTGAATCTATTTTAACACAGAGTATTCTAGTATGAAATACTAGTATTTACACAAAGATGCATCTATGAAAAACTCAAGATGGAAAAGTGCCTGGAGCACTGACTCATTCAGTGATGGTGTGCGTGCTTGTGTGTATGTGTGTGTGTGTGTGTGTGTGTGTCGTTGGAAACTGAACCCAGGTTCTCTCTTTGAACAGTATCCCTAGAATTTTTTAAAGCTTTATGGACAGGCTCTTACTAAATTGCTAAGATGATTAGGCTGGGCTTGAACTTTCAGTCTTCCTGTTTCAACCACATACAGTGCTGGAATTATAGGAACGTACCACCACACTTGGCTTGGATTTTTATTTTAAGTGAAAACTTTCTACACTGTGAAAATAAACACATTACTTGAAAAATGAAAAATAAAATTCTCATCCTAACAGATGCCCATAGGTACTTTTTGCAACTGTTCTGTTTTTCACTTTCAGTACAGTACTCAATATTACATGAGACATTGGCCACTTTATTATAAAATAGTCCTTGTGACAGATGACTTTGCCCATCTGTAAGCCAAGGTAAGTGATCATTTAAGTAGGCTAGGCTAAACTATGATGTTTAGTAGGGTAAGCATATTAAGTGCACTTTTGACAGGATATTTTCAATTTGCCAATGGTTCTATCAAGACGTAACTCACATCATAAATCAAGGAACATCTACATACAACTGTGTGGGAAAGGACATATTTATGCACATCTATACATGCATGTTTTCACTTAGCATCCCAGCAGGGATATAGAGATACTTTTTTATCTTTTTTTTACAATTATTATAACTATCCTTTTATGGATGCATTGTATTTTGCTATAAAGTAAAAATTTCCTAATTCTCCATTTTTGTTCTTCAAATGAATGTCTTCGGACATGTGAAACGTAATCTTCTTAGTTTTCATTTTTATGTGAAATTTTAAGGCACAAAGCACATAAATATGGTGACTTTTAGAAATTTATTGCTAAACTGATTTCCATAAGTTACAGATAGGAGTCATCATTTTTATTTTTGTATTAGTTTGGTTTTAAACATTTAACATTTCAAATGCTGTATTTTTCAAAGAAAAATAGGGAATATAAGGATATTTATATCCAAACTGTAACAGTGATCTCATCTCAGTTTCATATGGAGTCATTTCTTAGTGTCGCCTCACTGGCGTCTTCTGCTGACTGCTTTCTCCTCTAACCCCTGGCAGAGCCTTCCCTTAAGTTGCTCAGTATTTTGAGGGATATTTACCTACGTCTGAGCCTGGTGTGTTTCAGTAGTTCCATTTATAATATGATGTTTTCACATATTTATATTTTATATATCAATGCTATGCAATTGGAACTAAAAACTCTTTGATCACAAATTCACTAAGACGTCATTTTCTTATTGTGAATTTTTTGTTTTTGTTTTGTTGTGTTTTTGGTGTTTGTTTGTTTTGGTATGGAGACTCAAACTCAGGGCCTTGTGCCTTCCAGGCAGGTATTGTGCTTCATTTTGAATATTTAAAAAATCATTATATCTTTTCAAGAGCAGAGACAAGATAACATCATAAATTTAGCTAAGGAGCATGAGATTCAGGTTGTGTTCCACCATCCACTATTTAGAGGTAGAGGGCTCTTGGTATGGCTCTCTGTATGCCATCTTTATTCTTGAGGCTTCTCAGCTACATTTTCTTTCACTCCTGCCTTCTCCAAGTGAAATGACCCTGTGACAGGAATTTAGGACTAACTACTCCTCACATAAAATTAGAGAGCTTTAATAACAAGTGCTACCTTCTCCTACAGAAAACTTGCTGAAAGAAATTTATCTGAGTCTCCCTGTCATCCCAGCACTTAGGAGGCTGGAGCAGGAGGATTGTTGCAATTTTGAGACCAGTCTGAACTGCATAGCCAGACCCTGTCTCAAAAAAAAAATCACTAGCAAAGTGAAATCAATGATTATTTGTGAAGAAATAACTGATCTCATAGGAAACTTCAGAACTCCATACTAAATAAGATAGCATTGTAGTAAAATTTCAGGATTACTTTACTTGTAATATAAAACCCACATTTTTGTCCTCTTGCAGAATCAGTGCTGCAAGGCTCTGTCAGTTATAACATAGCCTAACTAAAATTTTCTTTCATCCTATAAAACTCATAGCAATGGCATTATGGTTAAAAAATGGCTTATCACTTCTGAACTTAGCCTTTGCCAATATTGTGCTCTGTGATCCCCTCAATTCTGCATTTTTGCATCTGTTGGTGGAAAAATGACCTAGGCAAACGGAATCACCCTAATCTGAATTTCAACTTTCCCTTTCTCCCTCTTGGCTCTATTCTTTCTACAATTTAGTCCTTGTCCCTTTGGTCAAGGAAAAATCGTATTCCATTTGGAAAAAACAATGTTGAAAATTCTAAGACCATGAATGCAAAGTTCCTAAGACTGCTCAAGCCTTACTTCTAAACTGACATTTAAGCAAGATGACCCTCACTGGAAGTGATCACACACACACACACACACACACACACACACACACACACACACACACATCTACGTTCACACAGAATTAGAACAGTGCCTAGGACATGGATTTGTTTACCTATAGATTCTTCCACTCCCCATGTACCTCTCTTACATTATCCACCTTGTCTTCAAAGATAGTAACATTATCAATCTTTGCTATCAAAACTTCATACATTTTTAATAAACAGTATCTCTAAATCAACATTACTTTGGATTCTATTACCACTTTTCAGAATTTGCCAATCCAAACTAATCTAAAGGTCTCTATCTCATTATTTTGTTATTCTATTAATGTAGCACTTGCCTTGTAACACCCTAGTGACAAGATCTGATTTCCTTACTTAAATCTCACTTTATTTTCTGTCTGGCACATGTGTGTTAGACTTGTCTCCATGGCTAGATTGCAATGTATTTCATAGATAATAATCTGCTTGTACCTTTTGGTGTCAAACGTGGGACAATCTAACTGAATTATTTGCAGTCTTTTCTTAAAAAGATCTTTTCTACCCATTGCCAACTGTAGAAGAGGTCTACTTAAAAAAAAAAAAAACAAAAAAAAATCAAGTATCATCGTATCATCGGGACAACTTTCACATTATAAGCATGATCACTTAAATGATCAGACATCTCATCAGGCAGCGTGAGCATATGAGCTTAGGTTTCAGTATGTGTGTATCTTTCCATCTAAACCCAGGTATCCGTCGGCAGACTGCTCATTGTGTGAAGAAGGGCCAAGGGATGGTGAAAGCGACATTCTGTAACCCGGAAACACAACCTAATGGGAGACAGAAGAAGTGCTATGAAAAGGATTGCCCACCCAGGTAATCAGGGACAGCATGGAACTGGAGCACTGCGTGACTGCCTACAACTGTGTCTAATTTAATAGTTATCCAGACACAATGATAAAGGAAATCTTTGGGCTTTGCTTTTACAATTGTTACAGGAAAGATGTTAGAGGTTTCTATGACTGTTATTGGAGCCTGGACCAAGCAGTGGGGACATTTTCTTCCTAGGGTATAGTATTTCTTATAAAGTTAAATTTTTATGTGTGTTACTTCTTTTGTAAGACTAAAATCCAAAGTATTGCTAAAGAGAATGCTAAGAGGTTCCAAGGGTACTTTACCCATGCAGCTCCAGATGATGTTTGCACCTTCAGGTAATGGTGCCCGCTCATACTGGTAGCAGGCCTAGGAGAGAGGACTTCTAGAGCAGGCTTTCTTAGCGGCTGCACTACAATACAGTAGGGGGCTGTCCTATGAAAAGTAGGGTGCTTAGCAACATCCTTGGCCTGTACTGGGCTAAATGCTAGTAAGAGTTCCTCTCTTCCAGTTCAGGTTGTTACAACAAAATCTCTATATTTTACCAGATCTCCTTGAGGAAAAAACCACTCAAAGCTAAAAACTTCTATTAGAGGGAAATTCATTTGTTAGTTGGTTTGGATAGTAGAGTCCTAAAAGATAGGTGGGGCTTTATTAGGAATAAACTATTAGAGAGACAGAGAGAGAGAGAGAGAGAGAGAGACAGAGAGAGAGAGAGAGAGAGAGAGAAGGTGGTAGAGGTGGAGGAGAAGGAAAAGGAGATGCAACAGAAGCAGAAGGAGAAGGAAGAAAGAGAGGAAGGGAAGGAGGAAAGAGGGAGGAGGAAAGGTTTAGTTCTGGAAAATGCCTTAATCCTTTAATGTTCTTAAGCCAAAATATATTTAGGTCACAGATTGCGTCTACCATTTATTTCAGTCTTACGCAAATCAGAGGCTGGTGTTCTCTGTTGTGTTTGTTCTCTATTTAATCCTGTGTTTTCCTTTGCGTGAGAGGTGGCCTGTGAAGTAGAAGCTGGGTTCCACCCTGGGGAGGCAGAACAGAGATGTACAGTCTACTCACAGGACAGTGATTCTTTCTTGTACCTCTTTTCTTGAGAAGAATTAAGAAGATTAAGGGAAGATTAGGCCAGGACTGGGTTTTATATGTAGTTGTAGCTACTGTGTTACCTTCTTAGAGAAAAGGGAGCAGGAAGGACAGTTGCCTTAAAGCCAGATGATCCACCACTGCTCTGCAAGTTTGTACACTTTGGTTCTGGTATATTCACTAGGTGGCAACCACTGCGTCAAGGCCTGTAGATTTCTCATTGCTCTTCAAAACCATGCTCTCTGTTGGACTGGCTGGATATCTTCTGAACCCACAGCTGTTTTATTCCTAAAACTAATTGTATCCCTAGGATTCACATTCTCATTTTTATGGTTGTATGCAATCTTCTTTGGTCTTCATAAGAGTAGCAAATATTTGTCAAGTATTTACTATTCCCCAAGAGAACTACTATAGGGATAATAATCAGAAAACAATCCCATTTTGTGAGCACCTGCTTTGCTCTCAGTTACCTGTAGGAAGCAGCTTGCGCATTTTTCTTATTATTCTCAACTACTGTGAAAATTAACTACTATCATGCCAATTTCCCAGGGGAAGAATTGCCATTTAATCTAATGAGACTGGGTTGAGGGGACTGGCAGAGATTTGAAACCAAGGCTGACCATCTGTAAAGCCTATGGTCTCTGTTACATGTAGAAGACCCTCCAAAGACAGGCACAAACTTTTCCATTTATTGGGCTGTTTCTGAAGCAAGGTGAGTGCTGTGCTTCACATGGTGGGCACCAGAAGATCCCCATGGTGGCACCCGCCTGTGAGGCCAAGGGGAAGGCTAAGAATATCACCTGTGTACATGAAAGCAACCCAGTCCAAGACCATGGATTCACAATCAGCTCGTTGTTTTAGAATACACATTAATCCATACTTTACATTTTCTTATTCACTTGTCACTGAAAACTTGACTTCACTATATTTAGAATTCACTTCCCACAAGGTAGTTCCCATTGCCCACCTCTGTTCACCAAGTGCTTGAACTTACTAGTTGGCAGTAATTCTAAAACACAAGTAGGGCTTCTAGAGAGACATGGATGTTGGAGCAAAAGACCAGTGGCTGGAGGACTGGAGAAGAGCTTAGGCTAAAGCCTGACACAGAGATAGACACAGAGAAAGAGCCTGGATAAAGAAATTCCTAAGTGACACAGGCTAAGCTCTCTGGATTAAAAGTTAGCTCCTGAGCATGGTAGTGTGATATGTTGGAAAATGGCAAGTCCTAATATGTGGCACCTATATAGATGCCACTTTATTTGGAAAAGAGCCAGGAAAGAGAACTTCTGAGAGGTAACTAATAACCTGCTATTCTACAGAGTCCTGCAGAGACCTGCACTTTGAAGTGTTATGAACTTTAGGGTTTTGAGATAAGGAGATTATCCTGATTATACAGGAGAGCCCTAAATGCCATTATCAGTGTCTTCCTGAGAAGTCAGAGGAAAATTAAGCACACACACACACACACACACACACACACATACACACGAGAAGGCTTTGTGCAGAGGGAGCAGAGAGATTTGAAGACACTGACCTTGAAGATCGGTATAGTGGAGCCAACTGCCAAAGTATGGTGGCAGTCACCACAAACTGAAGACACAAAGAGAAGACTCTACACTGGAGTCTTCAGATGCAGTACAGTCTTGCTGACACCTGAATTTCAGTGTAGTAATACTATTTGGACATTTGGCCTCCCAAACTTTGAGACTAAATTTATATTGTTTTAAGATACCAACATCCCACACATTCTTGTTGCTGGGACAAAGCATCCAGCACCTGCCTCTTAAAGGAGGATTTATTTTGGATCACAGTTTCATAACATCTGCAGAAACAACATAGTAGAGGAAACATAGTGAACAGGAAGCAGAAAGAGAAAGAATGAGCTAGGAATGAGAAGAACTCCTTCCCCATCACATCCCCAGTGTCCTGCCCCTTCTAGACAGTCCCCAACTCTAAATATGAGACTTTGAGAGGGAATTTTAGATCTAAACCATAGTACCAGATTTGTGGTAATTTGATACAGCAGCCCCAGGCACTAAGACAGGCCACTTAATGCAAGGGTAATAGCAGGAAAAGGGCAAAGGAGATTGAGATTCCTTTATCAAATCACAGAGGCTCCAAAGCTCCACACATCCTTGGGATGTGTGGCAAAGTAGGTTTTGAAATGGCACAAATACCTGTATGTCATATCTGAAGAAATTTACATTCAAGAAGGCAGTGTAAGATACACATACACTGACAAACAGGCTGTTTTCAGGACTGGGGCCAGCCAGAGTCAGGGACTTAGCTTGGGGCTCTTCCTTCCTGGTCATTGTCCACAAATCTCTGCTTTCCTTATGACTTTGTGATTTTTTGACCTGTTTTCATCTCTTAGTTGTGAGAGTAGCATGATAGAGCAAGGTAAATAATGTTGTTTTCTCTTGCAACATTTTTTAAGCTGAGTTCACAAATATAGTTTGTTGATCCAGAGCAAAAATTTTAAACAGACCAATCATGAAACCTCCTGTCACAAAATCCCAGACAGTCAGAATGCAAGCACAGATGGCCACACGTATGAGTGGCTCTGCCCGATGGCCACTGCAAGGTTCTAACCAGCACCAAGGTTCTAACCATCAATAACCTTGATGGGTCGATAGTATAATACTCATTGTATGGATGAGGACACTAAAGCCATCATAACAAATGTGACACCCAGGGCTCAGGTCTTCTTGGTCAGCTGATGATCATTTCCACAGTGGATTCCCCTGCTTTATACATTGTCATACTTTAGCGGGGAAAAGTTCACCCGTTTCTCCAGTTTATGCTCTTGCATTGGAAATACAATTTCCTGCAAATAATTTGAAGCATATACTTCAGGTAAGAGATCAAAGAATAAGCAATTGGACAAGTCGTTATAAGCTTTGCCATTTGGTAGAATTTTATATTTCTATTTAAGCTATTTTTCCCCTGTTGGCATCTGTCTCCCTAGGTCTAGTTTCTTTGGGACTATTTTTCTTCATGATTAGTGCCAAAGCCTGCACCTTGTGGTCATTAAAGATCAATAGAATTAACAGGTCAACCATGAATTGACTCAGTTCAAATCTCAAGCTAGAGATGCACCCTTCAGAAAGATATATGGTTGATTCAATGATGCCTTCTGAACCCCTAGAATAAATTACTTTCTCTTGTTTGTTTCTATACCCAAGATGATGTACACACATACACACACACACACACACACACACACACAAATGCACATACACACACAAATATACACTCCTACATTCATGCATACACACATGTTTATGTTTAAAATGAATGGTTTCTGTATTTAAGATACTACTTTGCCCCAACTGTTTACTTTTACTGAAATATCACTTTAACAAATTCATTGTACTCTCCTACTGTGTACATACAGTCCTTTATTTGTGTCCATATTTGTTTACTTACTTCCTGTAACAACAATTAGAAAATCAAGTAAAGTGCTCCTATGCAGTTTAATTTACAATGAAAGAGATAAAGCTGTAACTCAGCTAGGTATTTCAGCTTCTAACAATGTTAAATACACACTTGCAGTTAAAATTTGTAAAAATGCATTCTTAAAGTAGGATGTGATAAGCTAAATAGATTCTACAAAACACTCAAACACAATGGTTAACTTTTAAAAAGTACTTCTTATTTGTGATCATATTTCAGCTTCCCCAAGTATTTATGAAGTAGCTAAGAGGGTGTGAATATTACCTCCCAAGTATTCCATGAGCAGATGCGAGTTCAGAGACATTTGATGTCATGTGCTTGGGGGAAAAGAACGGAGAAGAAAGTAACAATTTTTAACCATCAACTATTTTCCAAGCCCTTTCTACACTGTCATATGGTTTAAAATCATCAATAACCCTGATAGGTAGTTTAATACTCATTGCATGGATGAGGACCCTAAAGCC